TAAACGACTCTTGTGTCACTTTTCTAAATTGTCTCTATTGTAAAAGTTATAGAAATTAAAGGCATGACTTTATGTTTTTCCAGTTCTGTAGAAAGTAGCATCAGGTCGCTTTTTGATCGTGCTATTATGTTTTAATGTCATTAAAGAGCTGTTTGTGTGTCCCTCTGCAACAGGATGCGAGCTGTGGGACAACGGTTAGAGGCTCAATGGGACTTTAGCCATCTCCATTGTTTATGCCTTATCTATCTGCCTCATTTCCTTCCCTGTTAGCACCCACTGTTTGTCTCTCTGTCATTTCCTGAATGCAAAGTCTCCATAAACAGTTTGGGTGTCTGGATAATTGCATCCAGACTCGGTGAGAAGGAAAAGTTCCCTGGTTGTGACCTGCACATATTTTGCACAGGTTTTAAAGACCCATTGGTGGGGTTTTCTGGCTGTTTTTCTGTTTTACAGAACACTCCTTAGTTGGAAACAATGTTACCTTCCATTGTTATCAGGCAAACAGCCAAGGGGAACACCTTTCTTTCCATGGTCTGCAGTGTTTTTATTGTCCATTCACTGCCACTGTTTACTAATTGGCTCGCTCCTTGGACAGCCAGGTGTGACCCAGCCCCAAATCTGACTCCACATTCCTGCCTTTGGAGACTGTGTAATTAGCTTCAACTCAAGCATTTCTCAGCACAGCAGCTTTTCTCCTGCTCCTTTTGTCTGTGTGAGTGTGGCTCACCCTCTCTCCCTCTTTCTCCCAACATGATCTTTAATCCCTGCCTACACCTGTGCTTTCTAAACAGGGGGCTCTCCTCTGCCAACACGGACCTTTCCATCACCAAACAGGGTCAATCTGAATGTTGTTTTAAAAGAGGCAGATCTGCCTAAATCCTTTTAAAACACCTACAACATTTTCCACTATGTTTTTACAAATAAAGACCAAAGAGATCAACTGAGATCCTAGAGGATGCTAGTCCCTGGTCACAATTTTGTAGTATTTCAGAAAACGTTTTGGTTCCTGCTCTGAAAGATTGACTGATAAAATAATTCCAGACCAACCAAAACACCCACACAGACCCACCGTGATCCCTAATGAGTCATCAGAGCGTGGCTGACCAACAGTCCTCTCCAGGCAGCCGTCAGCCTTATCAACAGACAGGGTCTTAGAGGGGATTGGAAAACAGGAAGAACCTCCCGCACAGGGAATAGCTGCTGGCACACTGTTTGTGTTTGTGTGTGGGTTTGTGTGTACATACATTTGTGTGTGTTTGAATGTCCACCCATGCATGCAAGTGTGAGTTGGCACAGTTAGTACAGTTTTGCAGTCGAAGTCTTTTCCCTTGAATATCTAAACCGCTCTTAGCCACAGAAAATAACCTGTTTTTTTTCTGTCCATTTAGGGCTTTACATAGATCTCATTTTTACAGCCAGTAAAGCAGGTACAAGCTAAGTGAAAAGAAGGTATTTGATTAGCTGGGTTACAACTACAGTGACTGAGACTGTGCACTGTAAATGGCACTCTGACTGACTGAATGGGCTTTTGTGCACCTCTTAAATAACCTGGCCCACCAAAGGTAACTGCCAATGAAACAGTGCCCCACCTCTCTGCTGTTTAACAGGTCAGAGTTTGACCCACTAGTCACTTTTCATGAATACAGGCTTGTGTTTGGCTGTTGGCCAGAGGTAGTTTGTCTCCAAATGGACTAAGTCCCGGGTGTCAGGGAGCGATGCTAAGGAATCTGTACTTGTGTGGATTATTTATAGCTGTGCTGACATTTACAGGGCTCTGGTCGGGAAAAACTCAAGGCTACAATGTCCTTTGATTATGGTATTACCCCGTCTTTTTCAAGACAGGGGAATGTCACCCTTTTAATTCTTAATGTCCGCACCTGGTGATTTTCTCTAAATGTTGGTCTGCAGACCTTTAATTTTTACTTAGGTCTGTGAAAATGCACGTTCAGGAGGTGACTCATTCTCCAGATGTAGGCCTTACTTCTTTAAGGAGTACTTGTGTACTCAAGTAGCCTTACTAGCCTTTTTTTCCCTTCAGTTTAGAGAATGCAATGTCCTGAAGCTGAATCAGTGTTTTTCTGTTCGAAAGTATCTCCAGCTTTCAGGTCATCTTTTGAATAACAGGAAATACATGCATTACCCCCCCCCCCCTTACTGCTTTCAACACAAGCTTGACACCTGTCTCTATCATGTTTGTCTGGTCAACTGAGCTGGTGGCACATTTAATAAATATATAAATATGTTGCTGTTGTTTGATCAGTCAGTTCACTCTCTTCTGTTTGGTGACCGTATGTTATCATAAAATCAAACCTCTGCAAATATTGCATTCTGACTGCTCTATTGTCTTTTATTTTTGACAAACAAGTCAGTGTGTGAATGTGCCAGGGTTGGTTTCAGGCAGGCACAAGTGAGTCTCGTCTTGTCCAAACAAACAGTTGGATCCTGCAGCTTCTGTCTGGATGGGGCTGTTGAGATGATGTCATTGTTGTCACTGTTTTTGCTATTAGAAGAAGTGCTGATTATTATTTCAGCAGCCAAACCACAAAGTTAAAAACACTGGGTTGTTATTGCTATTTAAGGGCCTCAGTTAGAGTAACTTTTTTAATGGGTAGTCGAAAGACTCGCTACTTGGAGAATTTTTTTTTTTTTAAAGGCCACCGGTATGAATTGAGTAATGGTTTTAGAGTTGATCAACACCATTCTCATGTCTTCATGCTAAATTTGAAGCCACCAGTAGATGGTTAGCTTAGCTTAGCATGGCTAGTAAAAAGGGGGATACAGCATACTTTGCTGTGACAAAAGCCATCGGTCCGATATTTACCGAAGTTTGCTATTAGTGTGTCTGAGAATGGATCCTTGGCTTATCTTTTCCATTTAGTTTTTATGTTTAATTTTCTACAGGCACCAGCTACTCCGTCAGCTGTTGGGAGTTATTTCAAGCTTTTTTTATGCCAACAAGTTCTGCATTTACTGCAGCTGTTGGAGCACTCAGAAAATAACACAACCAACTTGATAAAGCGACTCTAGAAGTATCATGACAAAGAGCATGACAAGTTGTCCTTCCTGTTTCTGCATCGCTGCTCTGGAGGAAGTCATGCCTTCCAGCTGCAAATTAACATACAGACCTGAGAGTGCTCTCCCTTTTCTCCACCCAATCTGAAGCTAATTATTCTGGATTTACTTGTTTCCTTAAGGTTTTCTGTTGTGTGCAGATGATGTTGGCTTCAGACTAAGTTGCATCAGCTATCAGTTGCATCAAAAGCTGTTGCCACAGTAAGCAGAGATGCCCTCTCCTTGCCCCCTTTTTGGCCTTACCCCAAAGCAGGGCAGCAGAAGTAGACAATCATTAATCTGGACACATAATTACACAAGAGGAGGAGGAGGAGGAGGCAACTCAGCGTCTACATTTTACCATTCAGAAACATCCAAAGAAGCATAGTTGGTGGAGCTACCCTTCTCCTCTGTAATTACCCAGAGAGCCCTGGGGCAAATCTTGTGCGGCTGACACGAATGCCTTCCCTCCTTTCTGTGCCTACACTTACACATGTGCGCACACACACACACACACACAGCATCCCAGCGTAGCGCCATGTGTCTGCAGTATGGGAGGTCTCAAAGTCGTGGCCTCCGCGTCTCCCAACACTGGAGGGGGAAACGTCGCTCTTCGCCGTGTCTCTGTCGGCTTTGTGTTCCCTCTTCGTTACAACTCACTTTGATAGATTCATGCCTCCTGCAGTCTTGACATTCTCTTTAATCATTCCTACTTTGTTCTTTCTGTAAAGATAAACTACAAAACTGGGTTATTATCACAGCAAGGGTACATCTGAGGTATTTAATTTCAATTTTCTTTGCTTCTACAGTCATTTTGAGTCCTTCTTTTCTTACGACACTGAGCACAGAGCCATGAGGGGAAAGTCTGAGGTTAACATCACAGAATGCCTGCAAAGCAATATTTGCTCTGTAATTTGCTTTCCAGAGGTCAAATAGTCTTGAATAATTGTCTTGTGTAATACCCATGCCTGTATTGTACCCCTGCCACAAACTCTTTTCACAGACTATAGTGGTACTTCAAGAGATGAACCAGTGATCACGCAGAGTGGTCTATAAAGAGGTACAGAGCGTAAACACATCCAAGGCTATGCTGCATTGCTTACTTGCCAGTGGGTACACTGTTGCATACAGGAAGTGGAACCAAAGGGCTTAAGGAGAACTCAATGGGGTTATCTTTAGGCTGTTTTAGCGGTCCCAGAGTTCTTCCTGCTCAGAAACAGCTTCTCTTTCCACAGGCTTGGTTGGCTTCAGACTTCTGTGTGAAAAGTGGAGGAGGGGTGTTTTTGGGCCTGTGTGAGTCTATCTACAAGCCAAAGGTTGGGGGGTGGGAAAGGGGTTGTCTGATGAATAGGAAGACGGGTCTGCTGCTCTACTCTCCCCACTGCTGGAGCTTCCCATCATGCTTTGCATGCCCTCTCACACAACTCTTTACGGCCTTGGGTTTGGAGCCAGATTTCTCAACACGGTTGCCAACAGCAACAATTTTTTTCCCCTAGATTCCTCCACTATCACCATTTTCCTACTTGCACAGTTCCACATAAAACAGAGTGGTAAAATGTGCCAGACTTTAACAGCCTGTGAGAAACTTTGATAAGTTTGTGAAAAAAGTGCCCTAGGGATTTAATTTGACAGTACAAAAGAACCAGAACATAGCTAGATATACATTGGACAGACATACAGAATATATAAAGTACCATCAAAGTGTCAGATGATGCTCTGTGATTGTAGAAATAATAAACCCTCTTCACTTTTAGCAGACAGTTGTTTAAACATCTTTGAGCTCCACATATTGAATTACTTTGAGCGTCTGGAAATGGAAAGAATATTTGTTCTAATCTGTATGAGCCTACACATATAAACAGTAAGTTATTACGTCCTCGCCTGATGCACCACTTCAGCGTCTTCTGGGGAAGGTCTGTTTATCGTCTCGCATCCCTGATGTCTTGCAGGATGTGAAAATATTCCGAGCGCTGATCCTTGGAGAGCTGGAGAGAGGGCAGAACCAGTACCAGGCCCTGTGCTTCATCTCTCGCCTAAGCCGCAATGAGATCATACCCAGCGAGTCCATGGCTCGTCTAAGACAGGTATGATACCACTAATGGAAGTATTCATGTCTTATTTTTGTGTGAATATGTTCCTAACTCTTACAATGTTTGCTGTTCTGCTTAGAAAAACCCTCAGGCCATTCGCTTGGCAGAGGAGCGGCGAGGTCTGGAACAGCTGTCGATGAGCGCAGCGGTCAATCTAAGCCGGGCCTGGCAACTCAGCTCCCATATCCACAACATGTGCAGCGAGGCCCGGGAGGCCATCTACACCAGAGAGGCTGATGTTAAACACTGGCTGGACAAAGGTGAGAGTTGTGCTTCGTTGTGTGTCAAAATGTATATCCCCGTCCTCCGCTGTACTGACACTCTGTTTTTCATCACCTCAACTGCATTCAACTTCATTATAGTGAAATCACTGTTTATTTCTCTGGCATCTTCTTGATAAGGCTTCACTATTCTTGATCCGATCTTTTGTTTACACTTTTCTTTCTTGTTTTACATACCTGATAACATGTTTTCACTTTTACCTTGAATACTTTAGAACTTGAATAATCCACCCCTTGATCTTGGAAGTTGCACGTTTTTCCCCCTTAAAATGGATTTATTTGTACTGCATTGCCATGGACCTAAATTCATAAGTAAATTTGCTATTAAGTAGGTAAAATCATAACAGGAAATAAATCCCTCTTGCCACAAGTGTTGATCAGAGTTGTGAGATTTAGATTTCAAATTGGGCTGCACAGCTCTTAAATTTTCTCTTAATTAAAAAAAACAAACTGTAACATAATTGTACAACCCTCACACCTGGACACACACCTGGATGAAGAACGTATAATTTCCCATTAACTATACTGCCTTTTTTGCAGAGGGATCAAGTATCTAAATGGCAATGAAGTCCAATATATCCTAGCTGAGGAGAATCTTTATGACAGCACTATTGTCCGCTGACAGCACTGTTATAGAGGAAACAATGTTGATGGTCATGGTTCACCAAGCACTGCGCACCATTATCAGCGGAGGGAATCACAGTAGCATCTCCTTTGCATAACAAAGCTGCCTTTTTTTTGCCGCACCATCTCCTCTATTTGGAGCCACTCAGTTCCCCCTCTCCAGTTCAATACAGTATTTAATTGAGTGAAATCACACCGAGGATGATAGCTTGCTTTTGTTTTTTAAAGCTTTGGTAATAATGCACCCTCTCATCTCTGTGTCCCAGGAGTGGATGGCTCCATGTTCGAAACCCTGCCCCACACAACAGAGGTGCCCAGCTTTCAGGCTTGTCATTCTACTAAAGACTTGTGGCAACCGTGTCTCTGCACATACAGCCTGCGTCTGGAGTGGTACCCGTGTCAGTTAAAGTACTGCCGCAGCAGGGACACAACAGGAAAAGGCTCGAACTACAAGTGTGGCATAAAGAGCTGCAGCAAGGGCTACCATTTCACCTACTATGTCCCCCAAAAACAGCTCTGTCTATGGGACGAGGAGACCTAACATTTTGTTTTTAACTCTTCTAAAAGGAACATTAGTTTTGTTTCCCCCTCAAGCAAAGCCAATGCTTCCCAACCCATGCTATTTAAAGACAACACAGTAACACTGGACCTCAGTTTATATGATATTAAGTGAAGCTGTCTTAAATGGGGAGTGAGGAGAACATGATGTCCAAGCTGAGACAAAAAAAGAATTCAGGTTCAAAATGAGACCAAATCCTTTAAAGGAGGAGAGGTACAGCTCATTGTTCTAAGAGGACCCACTTACTCTGAGCCTCTTTTGGGAAATTGACATATCATTGTCAACTATGACGGGACTTTGCCTAGAAGCTGTCACTTTTGTGCCTTTTTTTTCAGGGGTGGGGGGATTTGTGAAGCAGATGATTGATGCCATCGACGCAAACCTGTCAAACAAGCTACAATGTGCACAAATCTGGATAGTGCATTTCTGCTTATGCAAACACCAGCAGGGGAACAACAAAATGTGCTTCTGATCAAAGGAGCCGTACAAATGGTCGCCCATTCTGGTGAAGGATTATTTGGATGGTGGATTTCTCTCTTTTAAAAAAGCTCCGTGATAAACGGTTTGTAGTCAGCTAAATGCCATGTTTGTTCAGCAGCAAAAGCTGGCCAACAAAGACAATTCTTCCCCAATGCTGGCTTTATTTATTTTAATTGCAAAGTGAAATTATGGAGGACTATTTTTTTATCTTTTTTTTTTTTTTTTTAGAAATAACTCATCTTATCTTTTTTTGTGTTAAACAAGCTCTCAAAGTCACATAATCTACAAGTCCTCAGTAGCAGGAGTTCTTTGGATGTTGTTTCCAGGCTCATCTGCACACCATGCTAGTTGATTGGCAGTTTTAATATCTTATTTCATAGGACAATTTAAGTAAGGTCTCCTTTTTAAAAGCCATGAGTGGAGTCCTCGTGTCTGTCAATCACATTCTGAGTCAGTTAAGTGTCAAGTAAACCAAAGTCAAAGGAAATACTGTTGAAGGAAGGTTGTAATGTCTCACCATCCTGTTTATCCATGTTTGAGTTCAATAAACTGCAGCGTAGCCTTTTAAATGATCTCTACTGCCATCTGCTGCTCAAACAGGGTTTCTCATATCTGTTGAATCCAGAAGCCAGAATTAATATAATTTGGTTTCATGCCAAAAGCTAAGTGTTATTAATTTAAACATCTTATATCCCTAATTGTTTTGTCATGCTTTTGCGCTTCTTGATCTTTTGGGACCAAATTTCAGTTTGTGTGTCTGTTCTGTGTGGTTGAAGTATAATTTTGGTCTGTCATACCTCCATCTTCATCTCAGTCTTAACTGCCATATACTGTTCATTTTGTTTATGTTCTGTGATTGTTTGTCCTGCCTACTAAAGAACCAAATGAGTGAAATATTTCTATTTGTGGCCTTTTATGGTGATCAAGTGCCTTAACATTTCCACTGATATCTTTGCCATGTAATTATAGGATAGGTTCTATAAAAAATGTTTTTTTCTATGAAAGAGTTCTGACTACGCTGTTAAAAGTTGCCATAAGGAGAATATGAAGCAATTAGGTAATTTACCATTTAGGAGTTGTGTTTTACATGAATTGTTTCAATAAAGTCTTTCTTTGCACTGCAAAAAAAAAAAAGTGAAAGTAATTTTTTTTTTAACTCTCTGGGGATATTTTATGCCTTTTTCTAAGCAGTGAACAGAGGCCTGTCACATTTGACCACCTCAGCTTCCAGTGTACACATTTTTACTTTAAAGGTCAGGGCTTGCCACCAAGGTATTAAGCAATTACGATATTCTCAGCGACATTAAGTAAATTTAGCTACTAACAAAAATGAAACCCCTTTTTTTACATTTATTGACATGTATTTGAATGTAGTTCCTCCTACTCACCACATGATGTCGCCACTGAAAAAAGGATGAAGCAACCTCCCATCACATGGACAATACATTATGGAAGATGGAAACATGTTCTCTCTGATATGAAATAATGACGCCATAATATCTAAACAACGACATAGAGTGGGATGATACGGAAGAAGAACCCTTCAACAATTGCCAAACAGTTGCATGTAGGCCTACAACGACCAGTGAGGTGGAGGGGCAACAACTGAAGAGGGATGCTGTGGAACAACGACACAGAGCAACCACTGTCTGCAAACAAGCCTTTCACAGCCTCCTAAACCAACATAACTTCACTGACTGAACGCAAAACGCGCAGGATGTACGCGAAGGAACAACTACATGTGCAGCCATAAGGTAAAAAAAATAATTTAATTTGACTGCTTTTGAGAAGCATCACCACCCGATAAGAAAACACTCCGTTAGCCCTTTAAGGTTAGCTTGCTGTTGTTACTTTGCTAACTGGATAGTGCTAACTGGGTAGTTTTGCCTGCATGATCGTGTCTCTCTAAGGGGGGGGGGGATATTATATCTGATGAAAAGGGAAGTTTTAAGTTTCGCTCAGCACGGGGATAACCATTAAGGCTAACATAAACTACAGCTGTTTTCAATTTACTTACCGCTAACGTTACGCCTTCGGTTTCCATGGAAAGAACCCTTCGACAATTGTTTCCATGGAAACCTAATAAAAACTGCTGTGCATGCCGCTAGATTTTTGCGTGTTGCGTTAGGGAACCTTGCTTCCACATCTGTTATTTAAAAGCCTTAAACCATCCCTATAACTCATCTCTGATCATATAACCAACAAAGAAATGTTCAAACAACTCTTCTATAGGAACACCACATAACATTTACGTTTCTGAAAATATAACTTAACTTTTTTAACATTTTTTTAAATAAAGTGTAGGCCTATGTTAGGGCCATTTGTGTGTTCAATTTATGTGGGCTCTTTGTAGCAATTCATTGCTGTCCCAGTAGGTGGCATATTCACTTCGGTGTTGGTGAATGTACAATTAGAGGCGGAGGTAAACACTGACAGGTGAGCAGCCGACCGAGAGACGCGCACTGTTTTTGACCGCCGTTTGAAGTGTAGGGTGAATTGAACATTTAGCCTGGTTTTTGTTTTGCATTCAATTTTAAGTGTATGTGACGACCAGAAGATCTATTGTGAACAATTCGGATAAACCTGTTTGAGTGTGACAGCACGGAGTGAGTTATTCCCACGCAACACGGAAGACAATAAAAGTAGGGTAACCCCTCAGTTGCTCAAATGTTTTGATATGCAAGATCAAACCACGACAGTGTATATTCTTATCGATTGCATTTATGTTTCTGCCTGTTCTCATGTAAGAGATAGGATACAGATTTGTAAATGTACCCAAACGGAATTGTCCATGTAGGCTATTTTGTGTTTATTTATATCTGTCACACATACCATTAGCACCATTGAATTCTTTGTTTATTAGTCATTTCTCGTCATGCAGCTCCTTATGCAGATACTAGGCCTATGTTAAATTTCTTTCTTTCTTTCTTTCTTTCTTTCTTTCTTTCTTAAATGTTGGGCCAAGTGTTTTATATGTTAGTTGTTTTTAACAGAATACAACCAAACTAACCTTGCCTTTATATATTCTGTCATTCAAAATGTGTTTTTTTGTTTTTTTTTACCCAAACCCTTACAGAATCAGAATCAGAAATACTTTATTGATCCCGGAGGCAAAGCCGATCGTTGCAGTTGCACAAAAACACAAGCAGTAGAAATATAGTTATATACAATCAAATATGAATAAAACAGTAATTAAAATGAAATATCAAGCAATAAGAAACAAGTTGTGCTTTGCAAAAGCACAGAGAGTGAGGACAATATGGACTATATACACATTTGTAAGACTATTGCACAGTTTATATAATATAACATTTTGTATTAATGGACAGATTATTCGTATTATTATATTGCACAGTTTAAATAAATAATGAAAAATGGAGGAGGTTACAGTTTTTTAGTGTGAGATAGTCCAGGGTCAGTTGTAGACTTTGATGGCCACAGGCATGAATGACCTCCTGTGGTGCATCGAGGGGGGGAAATCAATCTAGCGTTGATTGTGCTACTGTGCTGTTACCTGGAGATTTAAGGTGTTTTGTTATATATATTTATGCAGTCTGATTATGTTTGGACTATTTGTTGGACAAAACAATCAATATGCAATATTACAGACTATTTTCACTACATAATGACAGTATACTGCGGAATGGCCATTTAAGAAAATATTGGGAAGTTGTCCACCTTTTTTGCTACCTACTATGTCCACAAAATAGATTTGGCCAGGTAACCGAATTAAGTTTTCCCACTACAAATGTAATCACAGCTTCAACTCCCTCTGCCATCATTACTTATAGGATACCCCTTGTATTGTGATAGTACACACAAGAACAAAATAACTGCTGCATTAACCTTTCTCCCTCATGATGAATGTCTGATGCCCGGCACCCAGTAACCTCTCACCTAGTCCAGAAACTTGCTTGAAGTCTCAGAGACATCTTGTTCCAGACCAGTGAGGGTGGGCCTTTCCATTTGCATGGTCTGACCTCCTAGCACGAATGTCACAGCAGAAGAAGAGACGTCCCCCTCACCCCACCAGACCCTCAGCCTGCCAACTGTAGTGCTATTATAGTTCAAGCAAAGGCTAATTGTTGTTCACTTACAAAGGATCGCACAGTCCATGTCTTTGGATGGTAATGCTGTGTCTTTCTCCTGTAAGCGATATTACAGCACAAGATGAGTCTCTATGGATTTTTCTTTTAACTGTGTAATGTGATTCAAAGTTCACTTGATGACTGCTGACCGGGAAATTGTAAGGTCATCGTGAGGTTTTAGCTGTTTTCTTTTTGCCTGTAGAAAAGAAGATGGCACTCCTTGTGGTTTTTGCGCTGCTGTGCCTGTCCTGCTGGGCCTCTTTCTACTTTATCTTGTGCATTGTTAACGGGTCCAGAAGCTACGAGTGGAACTGTCGCCTCGTCACGCTGGTACATGGCATCTTGGCAGTCTGCATCACATCATACATAGGCCATGTGGATGGACCCTGGCCTTTCACTCATCCAGGTAGGGGGCTCATCAAATCATCAGTGTGTTATTATTTTTGCATAACAAACACATTTAATGAGAGTCAATTGTTAACATTGTTGCTGATTAATGCTGTCTATTTTGACTTGAAGTTTGAGCTCAAAATTGCTTCACATGTTGTCCAAAATGCTGAGTGTTATTCAAAACAGACATTAGTGTGCACTGTTTAGACTACAACAACTTGCAAAGTGTGAATAAGCTCTTCATCAGAGAGCAAATCCTTTAACTGTGATCCTCCAACCTTTATTCTGTATTGCTTGTGTTATTGCAACTTATGTGTACAAATATGCTAACTACAGACTGTTGCATGTTTCTGTTCATGGATGCCAGGTACCAAGAACACTCCCCTGCAGATGAGTGCTTTGGTGGTGAGCCTGGGCTACTTTATTTTTGATATGGCCTGGTGTGTGTACTTCCGCACAGAGGGACCCGTTATGCTGGCCCACCACACCATGAGCATCCTGGGAATCCTGTTGACCCTGTGGCTGGGGGAGTCTGGCATCGAGGGATGCGCGGTTCTCTTTGGCAGTGAAATCACCAACCCCCTGCTGCAGACACGCTGGTTCCTCAAACAAACAGGACGCTACAGGACAGTGCTGGGGAACGTTGTAGACATCTCGTTCGTACTGCTGTTTGTGGTAATGCGAATCTTTGTGGGAGGCACAATGCTGTACTGTGAGCTGATCTCCCCAAGACCGAGATTCTTTATCAAGTGTGGGGGAGTGGCTATGTATGCTCTGTCCTGGGTGTTCATGGTGGACATTGTCCGATTTGCAATTCGGAAGAGCAAGAGCTGGCACAAACAGCAAAAGAACCAACAAGAGACAGTGACAGCTAATGGCTACGAGTTGAAGAATGACTAATAGTTTTGTATTATCTTTTAGTAAACCGGTTCACATTTGGTGAGTTTTTCACTTTGGGTTACTTTGTAGAGACAGTACAAAAACAGTTTTTTTGGTATTTTAAACTGAAATTAAAAAGGGATATTTCACACAGTAGTCATGACTTTCTGTTTAGAATTGTCCTGTGACACCTTTTTGTGCTTTTTTTGATAAACTAGTTTTTATTGCCATAATGTCTGCTGAACACATGATAAATAAGGATTGATAATATACAACATGCAGTTAACAAACAACACAAATACAGTATGTCGTGTGTGTCCCTGAAAACCAAAGCACTTTCTATCAACACGTGAACAGATGTTACTCTAGTGGCCTACTCAAGTGAAGTGTTAGTGAAGAGACAGTTTACATGTAACACCCGTGGTGCTTGTGAAACATTTCTATTCACATCAGAAAGTAAGGGCTTAGCGGGGTTCTTTTGGCTCGTGTGAAACTTTGAGCAGAGCTGAAAGATACACTCAGGGAGAAGAAGTCATACCAGAAAGTCTGAGTGAGATACAGAGAGATGCATTGAGATGATGACTGTTTTTTTATGATTTACAGAAAGAAGTCTTCTATGCTTTTAACCACTGTAAAAAAAAAAGCTTACATATGATGTATTTCTCTCATGTATAGAAAGCAGTTCTCCTCTGGAAATGCGCTGATTTTGCAGTCTGTTTAGTTATGATTTACGCAAATTATAACCACTTCAAATGTTTACTACAAATTATTTTACATATTTTGTATTCAAAGTTATGTGAAATGTCTATATTTGCTGTATAGTTGAGTATGGACCAGAATGACTTGATTAAGTTGTTAAGACAGAAGTCCGACGACAGATCTGTATACTCTCTACAGGAAGTTCACTATTATTTAATTTAACAGAGTCATGTCACGGTCTCATGAAGATTTTGTCAGGTGAAACTAAAACTATTGAATGAAATGAAATTCACTGTGAGCTATCACAGCCAGGCTTTCTTTAGTCTTTGCCTTATGTTTGATCAAGAAAAAACAATGATTTAAGAGGTATATGTTCTACGTTTGATTAAGTCCCATAAACATTTTGATTTCTATATAAAGCCTTAACACAAGGGAGTACTGCCCAAATAACTAGGGCTGACAAATAAATAACTGTTGTTGTATATGTTCAATACAATGATAATGAAATAACACTGAGGTAATTGTGATTACAGAAATTCTGTTTCCCAGTTTAGTCATTTCTAACATGACAAAATAAGTAATTACTCTTTGTTTTATTGACATGTGGCGACTTTTGTCCTACTCTTTGTGTGGATTTTGACAGTGTTTGTCATTTTATATAAATTGTTGTCAGAAAAATATTAATCAAAGTATTTACATATGGATTTTAACTGGTATGGTCCAATCAGAAAAACACAAGTGCATCATGGGACTAAGGCGAAAGTGGTTTGGTATGCAGGTTATTAACATGAGTTAGTCAACTTCATGACTGGATTTGTTCTATGAGGACAAACGGCGAACCACCAGCTTTCCTCTTTGTGCTTGGGCTTTATGTTGTTTTTTTTTTTGTTATTATTATGAAGTTGTGATTTTAAATCTATTCAACATGGATATCTGCAGTTTAAATGTCTGTCATCCCTTTGTTTTGCAACTTGCATGAAATCACTGAAATAAGATGTGCTGCTCTCACACAAGGTCTAGTTTCCTCTTCACTATTTCATCTAAGAAAGTAACATCTCTAACTGGTGTGTGCCTTAGTTTTCTGAATGTACTTTCCTCATTTTCTTTCGTTTTTTGGTATGTCTTGTATTGTGAACTCTCAGTACATGTTGAAATTGTGAAGAGCCACTTTCAGTTTTGGGTTTCATGATTTGCCTTTGTAATGCCTGTGTGGAGTCAAATAAAGATGTGATTGATTGTTTTATGCATTTAAACTATTCAGAAAGAAAAATAAACATGAAGCTAAGGGATGGGCAGTGTTTGTGTCAATTAATTCAACAGACACTCCTATGTCTTTGTCTTACACTAGAATTGCACTGAGACTGAAGTTACCTTAGCTGTCCACATGATGGTGTCATATCAATTATAAATGAATGAGCAGCATGGCAACATGAGTAATTCTAAAAATGCTATTATAACAGTAAAATACAAACAAACAACAAAAAGACATTGTAGAAAGTAAAAAATGGTGCTGAAATTCCATGATGTATTTAAGAACTAGAGCATGCAAAGTTGTTTTGTACAACATTTTGAGTTATAGTGACTAGCATATGTTGTAGCATCATACAGTATTTTAAAGCTGCTACAAACATGCAGTTTCACATATGTCATTCATCTACACAAACACTGGCTATGTGTAAATAAATACTAAATTCATTGAATGAAATGTAAAGTTTGATATTGTTTTTGACAGGCAGTTTGAACACCTAACACTTACCATAACTTAGTTTGTAAAGTGTATTTTCTTCTCTCAGGTTAGTTTAATGAGACAAACACATGTAAACTAATATACAAACATGTACTCCAAGGGACTGTTAATGGAATCAATGAATATTAACTGCTCTGATACGGATTTTACCCAAAAATGTTTTTTTTTTGTAGACTATTGTCAAGGACATCGATGAAACCACCCAGCTGGACTCGAATATCCTTTTCTTTTCATTTCTGTCTCTGAAAGAGATCAAAACGTGCACAAACACATACATGAACACACAGACACACACCCACGGTCTGTCTTTCAGGCTTTATCTGCTGATGGGTTTAGTAAGATTCATAGAACAGGATTGTACTCTTATGGATGATGGACAAAGACTGAGCTGTGGGCTGTAAATAATGAACATAATGACTACTCTCTAGGTCCCTGAACAACCACAGATACACAGAGTATCATGAAATAATCATAAAACAGGACGCATAATTAAAGGTATTCAACAACCTAGAATAAACTGCCTCCTTACCACTTTCAAAAATGTCAAAGCAATGTTGTCGTATTTAAAAATTCAATAAATCAATTCTTATTGACAATTTTACCTAATATTAGTTGTTTGGCTTTATCTGCCACACTAATACTATACAAATCAAGTAGCCTTCTTATATTTGACAGGGTGACACGAGTGACTTTTTTCTTTAAAGTATGATTTAAAGATGAGTTGACCGCCAAATACAATCCATATTCTTCTCAATAATCAATAAATGAATTCACCAAAAGTCCAACACTTTTCATTCATAAACCTCTCAATTTAATTCGGTGATGAAATATTAAATATGCTACTTCAGAAATTAACAAGAAACTACTATTAGTCGCAATATTAGCAGTGGCTATTTAATAGTTATTGTTGTTTTTTTTGTGTATACCAGTAACATTTTCAGCGGTGTTCCCCAACATTACACTGAAACAATATGAGTTTTCTCATCTCCCGGCGGAAGTGGTTAGTGGAAGCGCTATAGTGGACTACAACAGCTAGCGAGCTAGGGCGTTGCTAGCGGCAGAAAGTGGGATTTTTTTTTTTTGGTATCTTTCCGCAAAGTTGTGTCCTCGTACAAATAACGTCTTGCGGTGGAAAAAGCTGCCGTGTGTGTTCGCTTATAAGTTTTTTTATGCGTCTCGTTAAGTATTTGTAGCTGGGGTGTTTTTTCTCTCAAAGGACTGGTGTTACTTTCTGTCCCGTTAGCTGACCACATAGCTAGCCTGCTCGCATCCACGGGAATTCTGCCGAGAAACGACTGAATTCTGGAAACATGGAGTCAAGGAACGTCGCGCTGTGCTAACCCGACTTCACTGGATTTTCTCTCGGGCCAAGGAGACTTTTTTTTTTTTTGAAGGACATTATACGAGGAAGCCCAGTCAACATTCACGCCGAGTTGTGTGTATATATTTTCGGTAGCTGGCCCCGGCTCATTGTTGTGAACGAGAGTTTGCTTAGTTTGCACTCGAAACAAGAGCATACGAAGCAAAGTTTTTTTTTTTTTTTTTTTTTTTTTTTGCTGAAAGAGCTCATCTGTTTTGTTAGCTGTTAGCTAACGACATTCAACAGCCAGCCTTCCCCGTGAGAAAAGATTTCTAGGAAGAAATACGTTGTTTTTTTATCCACCATCTTATCATATTTGTTGTGTTTCTATTTTACGTCGGTGTTTAACATTAGCTGCGGTTGTTTTTTGCGCTAGTGTGTAACACGGGGGGTTTGTTTTAAAAACTCGCTTTTTGAGCCACGGGAGAATCGTCCCCACATCCCCAGACAGGCATTTCTGGGAGCAGGGAATACCAAATGGGACTGGAGGAATTTCCAGCATCTTCATCAAATATCATTTAGGAACCGAGGCCATTCAGCCGAGCCCGGGGTGGTGGTGGTGGTGGTGGCAGACTGGACTACATCGCTGGGCCAAGGTGTGTGTTACATTGGGAGACAGATTGTTTACACATTTTACATCGGCGGAAAAAACTGGCATGTGAATGCACAGGATTCATACAAGGAGTTCGTACATGCAAGACAACTTGCGCCAGCTGGTGCAGTGTATTATTCTTGTTGCCAAAATATTGTTCATCGCCGGGGTAGGATATCATCTGACTGAGCAGCTAATACGACAGAGGCCCCGATTAATTTTAAGGTCTGCACTGTGGACAGATTCCTCACCTTCTGACAAGGGATATTGGGGAACAGACATTTAGACAGTATTTTTTTTTCTTCCCTAAAGTGTTTGGACGTGCCAGCTGTGTCCTACAAATAATTTATTCTCGACAACACCAGTCTCTAAATCCTTGCCTACCACAGACGAATGCCAGAGAAGGACGCGCCACTAAATCGCCTCATCACACTCTGGAAAATGTTAATCGGATATAATTTGCTGCAAATCTAGATCCGGAAGCCCAATGAGTGACACACAGTCCAGCTTCACTGACAGGTACAGTATACAACAGCATTCATACTCTTTTAAAGCACTGTCTGTACTCCCATTACCTTAGAGCAAAACATAATGTTAATTTGTTGCGAATGTTTGGTTATGGTGATATTAATCTGAAATTCAACCCGCTGTCTGATGAAAACATGTTTGACATGCTCCAAGCAAAGCACTTCTTTGTGGTGATGTGCTCCATAATAACTGGGTTACACAATCTAATTACTAAGAAAGGACATTAGATCTTTATGGAAACTCTGCTGATCTCAGCATGGGTAATGGAGTCCTCTGCAGACAGTAAAGTACCACTTGTCAATAAAGTAAGAATGCCACTGTCAGTCTGTGTGTGCCAAGGAACAGCAGCCCCATGATCCCTGCACACCTTTCAGCATCACTATTACCTCTAAGCCTTTAAAGCTTACCTTCTCCAACACCTATTAAAACAATCTCTGGATTTAGACAAAACCTTAGCTTCGTGGAGTAATCACCTTATCTCAGGCTTCTGTTAACTTCTACTCAGTGGTTGGACACTGTTGCTAAGATCAGCTGGCTAAATAGTGTGTCATGGCCTGAAGATCAAGTTAAATAGTGTGGAGGGATCAGTCTGTCCCATCCTAAGCCACTGTTCTGTTATTTCATAATTATAAGCATGAATTCCACTCTGTTTTTGTTCCTGGATAATAAGGAGGTCTCTGCTCTCAGTTTGATGTACTCTGGCATTGAAACAGAGAAGTGAAGCTGTTGCGTTACGTCATGTTCCGTCCCACCTGAATCCCACATACCTGCAAGGAGAGCAGGCCAATACCGTGGAATGTGATAGTTGGATTTTCAGGGCAGAAGGAAGCTTTTGTGCACAGGTTGGGATCTGAAAATATCCTCATGGGCTAGGCTAGGGCATAAGCTAGAGGCAAAAACCCAACCCCATTTTACATGACCCCCCTCCCCCATTGCTGGCACCAATTGCTATTGTGGTGCTCTTTATTGTGTGTCATTTGAGACGGCATTACCACAACAAGACAGCATTGTAATCATCATATCTCTCGTTGTTTAGGATATTACTTTCCTATCATTTCAGAAACTGTTAATGGAATTTAAACTGTACTTGATGCAGTGAAGAACTGCTCTTGCTGTTGGTGTAGTCTGATGTAAAGGCTTGAATCCAAGTTTTGGTTTGATATCTTTAAAGGATGGGGATTTCAAACGAATAAACTATTTTGTAGTCACTGACAATTCATTGAACATAATTTGATTGCCCTCCACCCACACATGTACACCCACACCTAGCCAGATCATGTGTTTCCAAATGAATACTTGTGATCGGATCTCACTTTCTCCCTTCATATGCAAACAAGGAGCTTCATTCAGCTTCATTAGCCTTTAAAAACAGTAAATGATAATAACAGACCGTGATGCAGCATGTCCACATGTGGTACAGAGGAGAGGATGGTTGCAGACTTAATATGATGACAAAATGACCTACGTGATTACGTGACCTACACAGTTCCACATTATAAAACATCAGTGTCCTAACTGTGCCGCATTAATATAAACTGATCAACAGCTTGCGTGTCACATCTTGCTTGATTCACAGTATGTGGAGACATTGATCACGTATCGTTGCAGGCTGTGCACGGAAATAAGTGTCTCTTTTTGAGTCAGGGAAAGGGCATGTCAGACAGAAAGATTTGCATTATATCCCATCTTCTCCTCTGTGGATCATCTGTATTTCCATTGCCCTGTAAGTGTTAAATCTCAGAAACTGTGTTTGTGGATCACGGTATGCCCCGCGCTGACTCATCCTCTTTCTTCATCAGAGAGGTTAAGAACTTACTTTTCACAACTCTTTTGATTTTATTTTCATGTCCAAGTGTGAAGACTTAGGCTAGTTTTACAAAGTGGTAATCCACACAGAATTTAAAGGCTGCAGAAGTATCTTTATCTGGTTCTGAATGTCACAGCCTCTACAGCAATATCACCGGCCCCCTGGCACTTGTGCTTTTTCTGCTTCTTTGGTTGTTTAATGGTGGTTAGCAAATCATTTTCACATGCACCACAGTGACTGTCTGGCCATAGTGCC